CTGCCGGGCTGGCTTGCACCGAGCTGCTGCAGCCTGCCACTAACACCTGTGTTTCCTTTTCAGCTCTTACAGGTGAACAAGGTGATGTCCATCTTGTTTTATGTGATATTCCTCACTTATCTCCGTGGCATCCAAGGTAACAGCATGGATCAAAGGAGTCTGCCGGAAGACTCGCTAAATTCCCTGATTATTAAGCTGATCCAGGCAGATATTTTGAAAAACAAGCTCTCCAAGCAGATGGTGGACGTTAAGGAAAATTACCAGAGCACCCTGCCGAAAGCCGAGGCCCCCCGAGAGCCGGAGCGGGGAGAGCCCGCCAAGTCCGAATTCCAGCCAATGATTGCAATGGACACGGAGCTGCTGCGGCCACAGAGACGCTTCAGCTCGCCCAGGGTCCTGCTGAGTGACAGCACCCCGTTGGAGCCCCCTCCCCTGTATCTCATGGAGGATTATGTGGGCAACCCCGTGGTGGCGAACAGAACGTCACGCCGGAAACGGTACGCAGAGCATAAGAGTCACCGAGGGGAGTACTCGGTATGTGACAGTGAAAGTCTGTGGGTGACCGACAAGTCATCCGCCATTGACATTCGGGGACACCAGGTCACGGTGCTGGGGGAGATCAAAACCGGCAACTCTCCCGTCAAACAATACTTTTATGAAACGAGATGTAAAGAAGCCAGGCCAGTCAAAAACGGGTGCAGGGGGATTGATGATAAACACTGGAACTCTCAGTGCAAAACATCCCAAACCTATGTCCGAGCACTGACTTCAGAAAACAACAAACTCGTGGGCTGGCGGTGGATACGGATAGACACCTCCTGTGTGTGTGCCTTGTCGAGGAAAATCGGAAGAACATGAATTGGCATCTCTCCCCATATATAAATTATTACTTTAAATTATATGATATGCATGTAGCATATAAATGTTTATATTGTTTTTATATATTATAAGTTGACCTTTATTTATTAAACTTCAGCAACCCTACAGTATATATAAGCTTTTTCTCAATAAAATCCGTGTGCTTGCCTTCCCTCGGGCCTCTCCCATCTTTAAGCCTTGTTCTGTGATTGGCTCTCAGGAGCGTCCTGTAAAGTCTGTGTACACCAGTAGCCTGCATTCAGTATTGCCATGGCCATGACTGTCATTTTAGTAAATTTGTTAAAATCAGATGATGTCAGAGTTGTGTATGAACACAGTTACGTCCCCCTGTTGGTATGTTTTCTGATTGATTAACCGAGTAAAGGAACTGGCGTGGCCTCCGCTGACATCCCTATACGTGGAGCTTGGCATTTGATTCTGGCCGGCAAGCTCACCCGCTATCCAGTGCTCCCTTGCCTATCTCTGCGGGCGGATTTTAGTTTTGCCAATTGGAATTATTGTCTCCACTGATGGTCCTGGAACAAGAGCAACGGGCCTGGCGATTGTAATTTTGGACGTTTCTTTTCAGCACATTTGTTGTTCGGGAGTTTGGGGTTGTTTCAGGGTTGCAATTATTTTCTTTTTGGCTTTGGTTTTTATTTTGCTTTTCCTAAGTGGTTGTCATCCTTTTAGGCACACGAGGAAAATTTTGTAACTGTTTATAACCGAATAATGGCGTGACTGCCCAGAAGCACACTGAGATGCGTCCTGAATAATCTACACCCAGGGATAGATTTACTCATCACAGACTCTCTTGGCCCGTGGCCTTTCCTCCTTCATCTGGCGGCCTTGATGCCCCGACTCAAGCTCCATGTGGAGTTGGAAAATGCTCCAGCTTTCAAGTCAGACCTGTGTTCAAATACTGGCTCCTTTCCTGTGCTCCTGTCAGGGATCTAAAGACTCTCCAAGCCTAGTTTCCGAAGGTCAGGGTTCGGGCAAGTTCTCACCTACCTCTCAGAACCCTGGGATGGGGATAGTCCTTCCCCTCCCTTACTCTTCTCTCTTGGGCACTGTGTTTCTCTGTATCATCGCTGATTGACTCATGCCCTTGAGATGTGAAACGCTCAAGTAGAGAGGACTTCCTGGGTGCCAGTGACCCAGAAGGGGTCTGTGACAGCCAGCAGTCGCTGTGGCGATGTCTCAGCTCCTTCTCAGGCAGACTGAGGACGTGTTTGTCAGGGCCTTTGTCCCATGGGGAAGCAGACATCATCTGGGGCTGGAGGGGGACTGTCACCTCCCATCCTGCCAAGGTGCTGGGTGCCCATTGGTAGGATGTAAATGAGGCCATTGTTGCCCTGTAGCCCTGTCCTGTGCCCAACCTGGATTTCACTGCCTTCATTTGGGCCCACATATGTGATCTCTGTCTTCACTAACCTCCGCTGAGATCTCTAACACATACCTGTAGAGAATAGATGTCTTTTGTGACATGAACCTTAGAAATAGACTCAGCAAGTGGCTGTGTGCTTGGTTCAGAGTGTCATTTGGCAGCTCTTAATTCTGGATGCCTGAAATGTGGGCAGGAAATGAGGACCTTGCTGTGCGTACGCACTGCCCCAAGTACCTTCACCTGTGATGAACCATCACAGATCCTGAGGGAGAGTCATTATCCTCTCATTTCCAGGTGAGGAAGCTGAAGCCTATGGATCTGTCTCACTTTTGCTCATTTAGCAGGTAAGTGGCAGTGCAGATTTAAACCCATGTTTGCATGATGATACGGTATGGATGCCTGATCACAAGTCCATCTCCATCTCCCTAACATCTCCGTAACAGCATCGCATTTTCAGAGTGAACTTTGCACTCCTGGAGAAATGGAAAGCAGGTCACTGTGAGGGAATTTTGGGTATTTTTGTTTCACTGAGCCTCCATCAAAAACACCATAAACCAGCTGATGGGATGATAGGAAGGAGGCATGTCATTGGCCCAAGCCCAGTTCTCTGGAGCTCATCATTAGGTGACCAGAGAGCCTTATCTGGGCTTCCAGTGAGAGTGTAGTCAGCATTCCCTGATCCCCAACAGCAGGTGGAAGGACACTGAAGCTGGGCAGCATCTGTAGACAAGTAGCTGCTGGGTACAAGGACCTACAGCAGG